AACGAAACGAGAAATGTACGGCGAACGGTCCACCTGACCCACATCCTGCCACCATTGCATGTCGGCGCGGCCCGTACATGGCGCCCGGCCGCGACGACGGCCAGACGAGGGCCCAGACAGGCCGATGCGCCTCTGCATGGCTTCCGCCATTGGTAAGCTCCGGACGCCTACGGGGCACGCCAACGAACCGGCCGCTGCGCCCAAGCATGCGTCCCGGACTCCGGACACGACACCGCCCAACTCCGGGCCGAGTGTCCTCTCGCCGCCCGAACCGACCTCGTCCAGCCTCGCTCCCTCACTAAACCATCGCTACGCAATCCAATGCCTGTATTCATACGCAAAGACAACGAAGCAGAACATCACTCATAGACCGCGACATACACACCCACCACACTCACACCCCGAGCCTCTCCCCCTTTCCCCGGCTCCGCGGAAGGAAGATGGAAACGGGGCCGCCCGCTGACCAGACTGATGTGTTCCAGATGGAAAAATTCGTCTTCCACGCCGTGGACGAATATGACGGGACACGGAACATCACAGAATGGATCAGGGAGCTGGAGCGGGCTAGCGACTTCGCGAGCTGGGGAGTAGATACCATGTTGAAGTTGGCACTAATCAGGCTCAAGGGAGATGCGAGCGGATTCGTCGATCATTTGCAAGAGGGAGGGAAAGCGAAGACCTGGCCATCGCTCAAACGTGCCCTGAAGGAAAGGTACCGGACGGCCGGGCGGGAACAGTGGAACCAGCTCTTACTCCACACCGGCCAGCAAGAGGGGAAGACCGTACACGAATGGGCCCAAGTGGTGAGGAAACTCGCTATCTTCCCTGAGCGCAGAAGACAAGCGCGTGTGATTGGAATGCGGGCCGCCCAGCGGCACAGGGAGCAACGACCGCGAAGGACACGGCGACAGCCTGGCACAGTCCGCAGGGCAACGGAACCCACTACTGGACTATATCAGGCGTATCAACTTCGTACGAGGACTGCGCCCCACCCTCCGTCGGATGGTTTGGCGTAAACGGTGCGCTACGTTTGATGAAGCGGTAACGGTTGCGGCAGAAGAGGAGGCGCTGGAAGCGACGCACAGAGAGGAAGAAGTTCTCAATACGTACAGGGGCGGGCCAGCAGCCGTAAACCTGATCGAGACCCTCGTCTTCGCGATGGAAATCCGAGACGGAAGAAGAAAGAGAATGGAGACATCACCGGTGGGAGGAAGGAGCAGCCAACGCGACAGGGAAGAGGACGAGCAGCATCGGGGTCCCAGGAGGGACACCGAGCTGCAGCGGCCATCACGGCGAGAAGGCGACTCCCATCCATACCAGGACCAGCTGCCGTTGCCCCGCGGGCGACGAGAAGTGTGCCAGTATCAGGGAGCGTACCACGGCGGCCACGCCGGAAGGGGCAGGCGGACAAAGTCCGTGCACTGGCGCTCGCACCTGGAGCACGGCGGGGATGAAGAGTGGCGACCGAGCCAGGGCAGGTGGAGCGAAGAGGAGGCACAAGATTTCAGAGAGGGAAACTGCTTCTTCTGCGACCGGCCTGGACACTACGCCCGCCGCTGCCCCGAGAAGTCCCAGCGGAGGGGAAACGGGAGGAGTCGGCTGCATTAGGGGGCCAGCCGACGAGCGGTAATGAAAGGCCCTCACGCGTGGCAAATAAATATCAAGATCGGGCTGACCGGAACGTTCGGCGTCGTGACGGGTCACCGGTCCTGCAGAGCGGCGAGGCCTTCTCCGTCAAACAGGATCGGCCGAGGGCGAACCCGACGAAGCTGGGAAATGAAGAGACACGGAAGAGATACGAACGAATGGGGATATCACCTGAACGGAGCCGGGAAGCGCCGCCGACTCGGCATAAAGGTCAAGAGGCGGGGCAAGAGCAGAGCGCGCCGCTGACACCGCCTCCAGCGGTGTGCACATGCACTGTGCGCATCGAAGACCGTACTTGTACCGCCCTCATCGATACGGGAGCAGTAGCTGCACTGGTCCGGGGCTCCGCCTTCGAAGACGGATGGACGGGAGGCGACCAACGCGCACCGCTAATAGTCTTGAAGTCCGCGTCCGGCCACACAATCGACGTCCAGTGCCTGAAGCGTGTCAGGTTCACGGTGTGCGGAGAATCCATCCTCCACTGGGCGTACGTCTGCAGAGAACTGCCCCATGAGGCGAGCATCGGCTTCGACTTCATCCAAGCACACGGGCTGACCGTCGACGGCGCCAGCAGGACCATGTCCAACCGGCGCCACGTCAAAACGCCACTCGGCGTCATGACGGGAGAGGGGGCGCCAGCAGTCGGCGTTACTGGGATAGAGCCGACTCCGAAGCCGGACGGGCCGGAACGGGTGACGCGAGAGGAGGAAGCCTACCTGGAGCTCGTGGAAGCAGTTTCGGTGCCGGCCCGGACCGGAGTGACGGTGCAAGCAAACAGACAAGAGGCAAGCTGGTCAGACCTGCGTGAGTCCCGCGGAAGCTCTCCAGAGGCGCAGGGTGAAGGCGTTGTGATATCGGTCTCCGACGAAGGGAGGCAAGATGGCGAGACTCTGGCCGTAGAGCTCTTCAACCTGGGACGCGGGACAATGGAACTGGCCGCCGGATCCCGGGTGAAGGTCCCGCAGTCGCCAGCGCACGCGTCTGGAGCGAGCGTGCGAGAAGACACTGCAGCCAGGGCGAACGACAACTAGCCGGCGAGTCGGCAAAGTCGTCAGTGGGACGTCGGTGACGTGGAAATCGGGGAGTTGAGCCCTGAGGAAAAACAGGACTTGACATGGCTCTTGAAGGACTACGAAAGCTGTTTTTCGTGGGACGGCAGTTTGGGGAGGTGCCAGCTGATCCAACACCGTATAGAACTGACGTCACCGAAGCCCGTCCGGAGACCAGCTTACCGGGTAGCTCAGGCAGCGCGAGCGACCATCGAACGTGAAGTACGCGAAATGCTACAAAGGGGCACCATCGAGCCATCCATCTCAGAATACGCCGCCGGAGTCGTGTTGGTCCCCAAGAAAAACGGCGAGACTCGCTTCTGCGTGGATAAGTTAAGGCCGGGGAGGGGTCCCAGGGTCATTACCCGGTGGGCTCTTGTCAATATAATTCGCCAGTGTGGGGGACCCTTGCCGGTTGGGCGTATTAGTATGCACGCGATCCCGTTTATGCCCCATTTAAATGTTGTCGCTAGCTAAAGGGTGGAGGTGGATACCGTGGTTAAGGGCGCACAGCCATGGGCGGGGGAGACAGCCGTTCATGGTGCCTGACCGGATCCGCCATCCCGCCAATGCCCCGGTCACCCGCTTCATCCTAGCTCTGTGGCTCACATGACTGTGTGTTGATGTCGGGTGTACCGGAGCCACAACGTGTCGAGCCGTGCGCTAACATCATCGAGCTCGTATGCTGACCAATGGGCTCCTCATTATAAATTTGCTCTCGTGGGAGGATGTGACAGTGGCAACCGGCGGCGTGCAACATCCAGCGGCGGCCAGGAAACCCCGCCCCAACCCACCGCACCCCCAAATACCCCCCCCCCCCCCCCGCCCCCCCCCCCCCCACACACACAAAGAGTTCCATACTAGCAGTAGTGCACGTAGTGCGCTGTAGGAGAAAACACTATCATATGATTACGGACAAGGCTGGCCACTCCGTAGGCCACTCACACTCACACAAGTTTGGCCACTCCGTACTCCGTACTGCCACCCCATACGGCCAGTTCGTACGGCGTGCCCCTCAGCCACCAGAATCCGGTAAACCCGGCGCCACCAGGATCCGATAAACCCGGGGACACGGGCGAGGCGGCACGACGTGCCGATAAGAACAGGACAAGAGGTTGTGAGACAGCAGGATGTGGGCGCACGCGTGATGGCGAGAGAGGTGCGTGACAGGGAGCGGGGCTCATGTACTGACCCGATCGCTGAGTCCGGAAATGATCAGCTTGTCCTGTCCATCCGTTACATGGGCTGGAAGCCGGAGAAGCGATACTGCCATACAACAGCCGGACCCGGTATTCTTGAGAGGCAGATTATTTGTTAGAAGGCTCGACAAATATAATTTGAGGTACAAGGTATGGATTTAAAAAACCGTATCAAAAGTCTCAAAAATCCACGTTAAACAGGGTCCATAGAAGGCCCTACATATCCTGACATTCACGAATCACAACAAGGGGGCTCAGTTGTCGTAGCCTCCTCGTTCCTACGTGGTTCTCCAACACCACACAGAACACTTGAGAACGAGGCACTTCGGACAGGTGCGTGCGATAGGATGAGATACCGTCACGCTGTTCACGTAGGCCCCTATCCACCTCCCGCATGACAGCCACACAGTGTCAGCGGCGCGGCATGAGATACCGTCACACTGTTCACGTAGGCCCCTATCCACCTCCCGCATGACAGCCACACAGTGTCAGCAGCGCGGCATGAGATACCGTCACACTGTTCACGTAGGCCCCTATCCACCTCCCGCATGACAGCCACACAGTGTCAGCGGCGCGGCATGAGATACCGTCACACTGTTCACGTAGGCCCCTATCCCCCTCCCGCATGACAGCCACACAGTGTCAGCGGCGCGGCATGAGATACCGTCACGCTGTTCACGTAGGCCCCTATCCACCTCCGCATGACAGCCACACAGTGTCAGCGGCGCGGCATAGGAATACCGTCACAGCTGTTCACGTAGGCCCCTCATCCACCTCCCGCATGACAGTCACACAGTTGTCCAGCGGCGCGCAATTAGATACCGTCACTCTGTTCACGATAGGCCCCTAATCCACCTCCCGCATGACAGCCACAACAGTGTCAGCGGCGGCGGCATGAGATCCGTCACAGCTGTTCACTAGTAGGCCCTCTATCCACCATCCACCTCCCGCAATGACAGTCACCAGTTGTAAGCACGGCGGCGCGGTCGACCAGTTCCATGGTCTGAGCGCCCGCAGCAGTGGAAGGCGCACAGTAGGGTGGCCGCCCGCCCCGGGCTTGCGTGTCAGACGGCAAGCCAGATGGCGCTTCCTGGTGACCGGGCGCCGTGCCGTGGCTGGCTCTTTTGACGCTCGTCGCAGGAGGGATTGTCGTTCTGTTCATGTAAGTGCGCGCAGCAACGTGCGTTTGTGGGAAACGTGCAACCTTAGCTGGGATAGACCTACAATTGTGACAAACTCTTCTCATGCTGCCATGGCAAGACGCCAGGAGAAGCAAGTTGGATTCAGCTACGCTTCGTTAGCTTAGGTCGTATTAAGATAATTTGGGTAGGTTGGGTTGTTCCGCTTTTTTGTGTTGGGTCAGATTATCATGGCTCGCAGCACGTCGTTATTTCCACTGCTTAAGAGCTGTTTCTTCTGCAATACACACACACACGCACAAACACACACCTAATATATACATACACTATATATACACTCGTATTTAGACATATATATATATATATAAATATTTATACATCTATATCTATATATATATATATATATATATATATATATGTATATATACACGCATAAACATACACCTGTTCACATTCTTCACACTTACCTTCCATAATGTGCATCCCCACGGCGTCGCACAATAACAATGAACTTGAAATTGCAATCTTGCTCAAGGCCCGGAATGAGGGCCGGATCTTGCGGACCTATCGGAAAACGAGATCTCCTCCGGCGGTGTAATTAGATGAACTGTGACTTGGTATCGGTCACCAGATCGTTAGACCCAGGCCCGGAACGCTGACTTCGTATCGGTCACAGGATGGTTAGACCCAGGCCCGGGACGCTGACTTGGTATCGATCGCAAGATCGTTAGACCCAGTCCCGGGACGCTGGCTTCGCATCGATCACAAGATCGTCAGACTCAGGCCCGGGACGCTGACTTCGTATCGGTCACAAGATCATTAGACCCAGTCTCGGGACGCTGACTTCGTATCGGTCACAAGATCATTAGACCCGGGCCCGGAACGCTGACTTCGTATCGGTCAAAAGATCGTCAGACTCAGGTCCGATACGCTGACTCATTTATGCGGGCGGGGTTAACTCGGCTCCGGGACTTGGGTTCAAGACGCCAGACCTCAGACTTCGACTCAAACTCGAGGCTTTGAACGCAGACCGTTGCCAGACCCCTGTTAACGATCCAGATGAATCTTCTAATCTAGCGGTGGGTTATGCTGCTATGTATCTTCTTGTATGCGCTCACCGCATTCTTTGTATTTGCAGACGGAGGCTGTACAAGTTTCAGACGCTCCAGAGGTTTGGACATACCGTGCCACCATATACTTTGCTTCGAGGAAACTCTGCCAAACTCGTCGGTCCCACTGGCCCACAGGAGCTTCGACGCTTGTTCAATGAGTACGGAGTGCAGTACGGAAGCCGAGGCAAGACGTTAGCGCTGTACATGGGCACGAGGCCACTGTTGTATACCACATACCCGGACCTAGTCCGTGAGGTGCTTATTGAGCGATGCGATATCTTCCCCGACCGTCATGGGGCCTTCAAGAGCCCGGTGCTCACTACCCCAGACAACAGTCTGCTAAGGCTGAGGGGCGAGCGCTGGAAGCATGTCCGACGCGTGCTTAGTCCGACTTTCACCACCTGGAGGGCTTGGTTGCTGCTGGCGGCGCAGCGCGCCGACAGCAGCAACCAAGCCCTCACCGAAGAAGAGCTGCTCTCCAACGCTTACGTCTTTATCGGCGCCGGCTATGAGACGACGAGTACGGCGTTAGCATTCACATCTCACTTGCTGGCGCGGCACCAGGCCGTGCAGAGCCGTCTGTACGATGAGATAGCGGCTAACGTGCCGGCTAGCGGCGACCTTGACTACGAGGCCGTGCTCGGCTTGCCCTATCTGGAGATGGTGATCCAGGAGTCACTGCGTCTCTACCCACCCGTGGAGAAGTTCGGCCGGCAGTCGAACGCCACGACGGAGGTACAGGGCGTACGCATCCCACGCGGCACATTCCTGGCTGTGGTGCCACTCCGCATGCACTACGACCCGGACCTGTGGCCCGACCCGGAGCGGTTCGACCCGGAGCGGTTTAGCGCCGAAAACAAGCCGCGTATCGTGCCTTGTAGCTACATGCCGTTCGGCTCTGGGCCGCGCCACTGCATTGGCAAGCGATTCGCCCTGATGGAGATCAAGCTGGCGCTGTGTCACGTGCTGCGCCGGTACCGTCTGCTGCCGACCAGCGAGCCGCTGGAGCTGGCTGTGGTGCCGCCGTCTCTTGCGCCCGCCTCCGGCCAGATCAACTTGCGGGTCGAACTGCGAAGGTGCTATAGCGATGGGGCCGCGGGAGGAGTGTAGAAAGGGTGAGAATGAAGGGGAAGGGAGTAAGGGATGAGGAGAGGAGGTAAAAAGCGAGTGATAAAGGATGGACGGGAGGGAACCAATGAGGCTCATGTGATGAGGGGAGAGATTGGTGGATGGGAGGATTGGTGATGTAAGGAAGTGATGAATAGGACGTACGGTGAAGCGAGGTTCTCAGGGGGAGACGTGATGGATGCGGTGAGAATGGAAAAGAGTGGAAAAGCTGTTCAGGAATCCATTGCAAATAATTCGACTCTTCAAACGCTGCCTTATTCAGTATCATCATTCATATTTCTGGAGATTCGATGTGTGCTTCGAATGCAGCTCTGTACGGATATAATTGGATACAATACCGTATGACTGTGCCTTGTGATAATTGGGACCAGGCTGCAACTTCGATGACGCCGAACGGCCTTCTTGTTTGCCCAAGCTGGAAAGGAAAACGATCCCATAATTGACCTGGCTGGAGGTAAGCCAGGAAAGAATGCATTCGCGCGGGAAATGTAGGCATTGCAAGCGATTGTTTTTAGTTTAGTGTATTGACATTGTTTTCATGCCTGAATTGCTTTGTCGCGCGAGGTGCCTCATAACATCTATAGTGCATTTGCACCAATCTCCATTAGAAACGATTTTTGGTTGCCTCTGTTGGACAATATATACCCCAATTGATGTCTTGACTAATCAGAATCAGAGCACTGACTAAGCGGAGCTTGTTGCGTGCGCTCAGACACAAAGTAGGACCCAAAGCCCGTATTAGGCGATCTAGTCCAGTGCATAGTATTACCTCCGGTCTCCTTCGTAAACAGAAATATGTTTGCAGAGGGTCTATGCGTTGTGCAGCGCTGCAACACGGCCGCCCCGGACCAAGGACCCACTTTGGCTGGTTATCAGTTGATCCCTGTTGGTCAAAGCAACGCGCTGAGTACGAAGCTCGCACACCCATTTTCGACGGATAATGACTCCGGCAACTTTCGTCTGCACCACGGGAACGGCAAATATCCGACACCTGACATTGCTTATACTGCAGCACGGTCCCTACCCCAAGATTAGAAATGTGAGGAGACCGAACAATATTGGCGTTTCCTGAGCCACTGATGAATCCATGAAATCTAGTACGTTTACACTGTCGTTATTGGTTACAATCAAGCAGCCCTCCCAGATGAATACTGACCACTGTTTCTCGCCAATCAGACGAGCATATCCGGGGTAGGGGGGTGGGAGAGCGGTAGCGTAGTGGTTACACTGGGCGCCTGGGAAACTAGAGGTACGGGGTTCGATTCCCCGCGGCGCCCGCCCCTCCCGCCAGGGTGAGAGGCGGGCGACGCCATATAGCCACAGCAGCTGAGTGCGTCGTAAAGCCCCAATGACAGACAGACAGACGACCATCTCCGGCGTACACAATGAGCGATGTCGTCTCGGGCTGCGCTACGTGCCGTGGTAGGTTTAGTATTGCGCCTTATGCGTGGACTGTCGCCCCCAATCAAAACATCCGTGACATATCTATCTTAGTTTGTGCTGACCGTCTGAATCTATCCACTCTCACAGCGTATTGCACATGCGAGAGGATGGCAGCACTAATTTGTGTCATCCAGAAATCATAGAATGACATGGGGACTAATACATGACTAATGACATGACTGGTACAACATTCAAAATGTCATCTCGCGTTCGGCACACTACGCTTCAGTTTCGCCCGTTAGTGGTCGGGATAATTGCATTTCCGTGACAAAGGCCCAGTGATTTGCATAATTATACTAGAAACAAGACGAGAAAATGTACCAGAATAAGTGCGCACTGATATGATATAGCATAGATTGCGCTAACAATAGTTCAAAATCATAAAAATAGTCAGAATATGGGGTGAAATAGGTCGAATGCTTGGGTAGCACAAGAGCCACGACCCAGCACGATGCAATTTAGCACAATATAGCCTTATTTAGGAAATAAGAAAATACTACCCATGGCGGGAAATCCCTCGATGACCAGCCCCCTCTGACAACTCGAATGTCGACGACGGTGCGTGCGCATCAGTCGGAGCGTTGTTGGCGGTTTGGTATATGTGTGTAAAAGGTGGGCCTCGACATTATGTGGAAATAGTAATTTTGCGATCTTTGTGGTGGTGTTTTTAGCTACCTGTCACTTGCAATAACTGTCATTGAGTGTATTATTGTCAGTGTGTACATCTGACATTTCTAGATGTTATCTCATTATCAGAGAAATTTGAATGGCACAAGAAATAATTTTTGGGTTCTTAAGGATGGAAATTGTAAGCTTCTATTGGAAAACACGTTTGAGGATGTAGAAGACAAGTAAAGCATGGGGGTTGAAGCATGAAGAATCCGGCTTTTTTTTACTTGGGTACCTGTATTGCCGACGGTGGGGAGAGCTACGCTGGCTGCAGGGTTCCTGTACTGCCGTGATGGAGAAATGCTGTCAGGTATCAGCCGACGTAGTGACGTCACTGAAAATGGGTTTCCATCGATCGGGGTTCTTTTGGGCCAACTGAAGGCTACAAGGCATTTGCTAGCGATATGATGTCACTGGTATTCGACTGGATGTGTGACGTCACTGGTTGTGAGGCTTTAGGGATCTTTTGGGTGTAATGAATGCCGTAAAGCATCACCTGACGATATGTCGTCGCTGGCATTCAATGAAACATCAGGCGCAACAGGCCTTATTCCATCTTTACCTTTCGTACCTGTCTGCTGCAAGCATTTGCGTGTCGAATAAAAGCTTGACCGAATCACCTGAATGCGTGACGTCACTAATCATCACTTGATACGAGTGCACTTAGGCCCCACGGCCGCGGTGTATCATGTTCCGTGAAATATCACCAGGTATCGTGACGTCACTGATATTCGACTAAATGTTGGTCGCAACAGGTCATGCTTCATTTTTACCTTCGTACCTGTCTACCGCAAGCACTGGCGTGATGAATAAAAGCTACCAAATCACGTGAGTGTGTGACGTCACTGGTCATGCATTTTTATGGATCTTTGGGGGCCAACTGAGAGCCGTAAAGCATGACCTAATGATGTGACGTCACTGGCATTCGACTGTGTGTGATGTCACTTGTGATCAGATTTTACGGCCTCTTTTGGGCCGACGAAAGGTCATACGACATTAACTGAAGATGTGACGTCACTGGTATCCGAATAAAATTCAGGCGGGACAGGCCATGCTTCATCTTTACCTTTGGTACCTGTCCATTGCAAGCATTTGAATGCTGAAGGAAGGCTCTGCCGAACTACCTGAGTGTGTAACGTCACTAACCATTAATTTATATAGACTGCTTTGAACCTACCGTAAGCCACACCACATCAGCTGACCATATGACGTCACCGGTTTTCGTCTAGATGTCATGCGCAACAGGCCATGCTCTATCTTTGCCTTTCGTACCTGTTCACTGCAAGCATTCGCGCGCTATATCGAGGTGGTGCCGAACCATCTGAGTGCGTGACGTCGCTGGTCATGAGTTCATACAGGCTCACTTGGGCACCCCAATGCAACAAAGCATCATATCCTGTGAAGCATCGCGGGATGATATGACGTCACTGGTATTCGACTCAACATCAAGCGCAACAGGCCATGTTCCATCTTTACCTTTCGTACCTGCCTACTGCAAGCATTCGCGTGTTATATGACGTCAATGGTCAAGAGCTCTTACGGGCTCTTTTCAACCCCCTATATGGTATAATGCTTCAGCTGACGATATGATGTCACTGGTGTTCGACTTAACATCAGGCACAACATGTCATGTTCCATCTTTGCCTTTCGCACCTGTTAAAGTATCGGCGAGCCTAATGATGGCTCTGTCGAATCACGTGAGTGCGTCGTCATGAGTTTTTACAGGCTATTGTTGGCCGAGTGAAAGCCATAAGGCATCATCTAATGATGTGTTGTCACTGGTAATCCACTAAGTGTGTGACGCCATTGGTCATGAGTTTTCCCGGGCCTTTTTCGGCCGACTTAAGGCCATTAGGCATCAGGCAACGATATGGCGTCATTGGTATTCAATTAAGCATCAGGTACAATATGTCAAGTTTCATCTTTACCTTCAGCACCTATCTACTGCAAGTATTCGCGCGCCACATAAAGGCTCTGCCCAATCACCTGAGCGTGTGGCGTGACTGGTTATGAGTTTACGCGGGTTTACTCGGGCTGACTGAAGGACATCAAGCATCATCTGGCGATGTGACGTCACTGGTATTCAACTTAACACCAGGCGCGACAGACCATGTTCGTCTTTATCTTTCGTACCTGTCTATTGTAAGCATTGACATGCGTAAGGAAAGCTCTGTGAAATCTCCTGAGTGTGTAATGTCACTGGTCATGAGTCCTTTATGGGCCGCTTTTTTGTACCTATAGGGTACAAGACATCAGTTGACGATATGACGTCACTGGTGTTTGACTTAATCTCAGGCGCAACAGGCCATGTTCCATCTTTGCCTTTCGCACCTCTATACTGCAAGTATTCGCGCGCTACATAAAGGCTCTGCCGAATCACCTGAGCATGTGGTGTAACTGGTCATGAGTTTACGCGGGCTTACTCGGACTGACGGAAGGACATCAAGCATCATCTGACCATATGACGTCACTGATATTCGGTCTGTGGCCCAGGCTTATGACCGCTAGGCGGCGCCCTTTATTATTTAGCCATCAGGGCATTCCGGACCGTAGCTGCTCAGGGGCGCATCCTGTGATGTCGGGCGGAATAGCTTTGCATATACGTCGGTTTGTGGGCTGGGATCACCTTTGTTTTGTGTTTACGTTGGTTCAAAATTTTAGTCGTTGAAACAGCCCGTTGCGTTTGAAGCTGCTACTTAATGGTGCGCACAATAAAATTAGTGTGCTTAACTATGGTGCATCTCCCGCCTCTGCTGCGGAATTTCGTAGCCATAGGTGGCCAAGTGACCTCCTACCAACTGATGATCAGTGACGTCACGTACTCAGGTGATTCGGCGGAGCCTTCATATAGCACGCGAATATTTGCAGCAGCCAGGTACGAAAGGCAAATATGGAACATGACCTGTTGCGCCTGATGTTTAGTCGAGCACCAGTAACGTCATGCCGTCAGCCGATGCATTACAACCTATAATGGGTTCAAAAGAGCCCATAAAAACTCGTGACCAGTGACGTCACAAACTCAGGAGATTCGACGGAGCCTTTATTCAGCACGTCAATACCTTTAATAGACAGGTACGAAAGGTAAAGAAAGTACGTGGCATGTTGGACCTGATGTTAAGTCGAATAACAGTGACGACATATCATCCTGTGATGCTTCACGGGAGGTGTTGCTTTGTGGCCTTGGGCGGCCCAAGTGAATCCGTATAAACTCATGACCAGCGACGTCACCCACTCAGATGATTCGTCTGGAGTTTAGTCGATTACCAGTGACGTCATATCGTCAGCTGATGCTTGATGTCCTTCAGTCAGCCCGAGTAAACCTGCACAAACTCATGACCAGTTACACCACACGCTCAGGCGAATCGACAGAGCCTTTTTGTAGCGCACGAATACCTGCAGTAGGCAGATGCGAAAGGTAAAGATGAAACATGGCTTATTGCAATTGATGTTAATTCGAATACAAGTGACGCCATAACGTTATCTGATGCCTAATGGCCTGAACTCGGCCAAAAAAGGCCCGTAAAAGCT